GAGATCAGTCCGAACGTTGAGCCGACATCAGCCCCACTCAGGGTCCGCCGGCGAGCCTGGCCGGGCCGCGGCTGGGAGAGGCGGACAACAGGCCGTCTGGTGCGGCCGCGGCGGCGCCCCCGAGACGAGTGGGACCCGCTGCCGCCGCCGCCGCCACCGCAGCTTGCCGCGGCGGCGGCGGCGACGCGTTTGTGGCCGGCCGCCGCCGCGCCGGCCCCGGGAGACTCGGGGTGGGATGTGGCGACCGTGCCGAGCCGACGCGGGCGCCCCCGGGGCACGGCAGGGTCACAGCCCGGGAGAACACCCTTGCGGACTGCGCGATACACGGTACACGGGCAGTGGTTGGTCGGCCACTCGCCTCCCATGGTTACAATTAATTGCAAGTGAGTCTCGAAGCGGTTCGCAAACTTCTTGCAGAGGTGTGGAAGAATTGCATTTGAACGGGCGACCCGACCGGACCTGCGCAACACTGTTAGTAGTCCTACAACTCTGTAAACCATAGGCATATGGCGATGGCATTCTGACTTCAAGGAAGCCTGGTCTTTTAAATCCGTATAATCGCAGTCAGGCTGCCTCATTCCGCATTGTGTTGCACACGAAAGTTTTCCGTGCAGCATTGAAGAACAAATCCGTCCATTGATGGTAATCGCAATGAACTGCTGTTTTTCATGTATCAGCACGTCGGGTGAGATCGTTGCGTGTGGCATTACTTTAAAAACGTCACTGATTGGCCGTAAACGCTGCTGCTAATTACGCGCGAGGCCGCAGCCGACCGAGTTTGAACGCCAAGACGTCAGCCATGTTGTGTTTCAACGGTCAGGCTCGGCCCGGCCCGTTAAATCACGCTTTTGGTGGCCTCATGTCTTTTAAGTCACTGTTCGTACCGCCATGGTGTTTTCTGCGACCAGTGGCACAATTGTTGGCATGTTGTGCCGCAAAAGTGTAGCCGGGGGAGAGGTTTTGAGGCCATCCCCACCCGCCCGCACCCTCTGGAGGTGGTGGGGCTCGATGGGGCGCAGGGCCCGGCGCTTTTTGGCACGTTAAGGCTCCCACTTGGCTTTAAATACATCAAAAACGGACCTTCGACGTACCGAAATGGGATACCGAGCCTATAAAGGCGTCTGAATACAAAACAGGACTTCTACAGCGACCATGTGTGGCCCTTTGGCTGCCCTCCATCCCGATTTACCCCTCCGCCTCCCCCGGACGAAATCTTGACCTTGCCGCTTGACTTGACTTTGCATTTCCAACGCTCTGCAAGGCTGTAGCGTCATCACTATTTAATATCCCCATACGATGATCATGGGAACTATGCAATTCTAGAACCGTGGCAAAGGCGAAAGACGCGATTTGGGAGCAGTCCCAGAGCTCTGCAACCATTAGTCGTGACGACATAAGACTAACACGAGAGGAGAAAAAAGCGGGTAATCGTGCTGGCAAACGTGAGGGCAGATGGCACAGGCTTCCCTGGACAATCGTGCCTAAGCCATGGATCCAGCCTTTTTGGCGTTACTAAGGATTTGTGTCAGAGATCGGCAAGGGGGTATGGAGGCTTTGGCAAAAAGGTGTGGGACAAGGCTGAAAAAACTCTGAAAACCTTGTTTAATGCCCCTGCAGAACGCTAAAAAATTTGCAATGGGTAAAACACATGGCATGTTACTCATCTACTTAATTTGGCGTGTCGACCTCTAAGTCCTGTTGTCAACATTCATTTACACTCATATCGATAAATGTATTTAATGTGTTAAGGTTGGGGTATGAGGCTCAAGGTCACCACGCTCATGCACCCCTGAATCTCGGCGGCCAGAGCAGACAGGGACGTGAGTCCGCTGTGCAGTGTAGGCCAAGTATCATCCACATTTATCAAGCGATCTTGACACTGTCCGACCCACAGGTGCGCCGTATCGGTGCGGCAGTAATATGGCGGAACGGGCAGAAACACTCATGCTAAATGGGCTGAAATGGTGATCCTTTCTTTTACTCCTAGGACATCTTACATCAAGAAAGAGTGCGCAATGTAATTCATCTAATCTCGAGGCTGGCGCAGCCCTCACTAAGTGCCATGAACACTTAAAATAATCATGTACGTACCTGCGGCACAAAAGGCGCTCAAGATGTTGCGGCACGAGCGTGCAGGTAACAGCAGCTTACGTCAGCTGAGAAGAGGGAGTAAGGTGAAGGCCAGAGGCATACCGGGGAAGCGGACCCATTTGGGGCTGGATTGGATCAGGAAGGTTTGACATAAATCAGTACAATGCGTTTTTCGGCAACTAGACCGGGAAAAATGCATACCTGACGTGATCTAAGCCTTGGAAAAGACGAAGAACGTGCTTCTTTGATTGTGGTCAACACATTCCACCCTTCAGTCACGTTTCTATCGGAAAAGATCTGATTAAAGTATGTGGTATATTAACCCTCGCCCTGATTCACCTGATGGTTCGTTTTCCATAACACGTACTGATTAGGCGGGGGGGGGGGGGGGTCGATGCGACTCCCTGCCACTTCCAAGTCAAGAAAGACAAGGCTTGTGTATCTTTGAAAAGCGGATAAGTAGCGATTCTGAAACGTCAGACCAGCCAATGAAAACCAAATATTAGCGAATTGTTTTTTAGTGTCAATGATCAACAGACAAGCGTAATAAGAACGCTAGAACAAGTGCAGAGAAAGTTTCTTAAATACACCTAGGCCAAAGCCTTTAACAACACTGACATCTAAGATAATTCACAGGCCTCATGCACCAACATATACATACATATATATGCATGTATATAAATATATACACTCAGATATGCACACGCACATCTGTCGTTTCTTCCTTTTCACGACTTGCTTACGTATATGGGTGCATTTCAGGGGTACCGTAGACGAAATGGGTCCTCCTCACGGGGTAGGGGCCTCGTGGGTCATGTCATTGTTAAGGGGAGCGGCACGGAGAGGCAATGTACAGGCAATGTGTTTTAACAACATCTTTATGATGTATAGCTCTGTTAATGTAGCAATGCCGGTGCGACGCGGTAGATCGCCGTGCAGTGTTTGTGTTTTTTTTTCTCGAAAAACGCAGATGCCGTGGACCCATAAAAGAAACTACAAACACAAGAACATCTTTTTTGATGTCAAAACGCCCGCAATAGGTGCTTTACAAGCTTTGTTAAAATTTTGGTGTGTTTACACGACATGCCAGAGAGGTATCAGAAAACCTCAGGGAAGGCGAGGGTCGCATCGATCCCCCTCCCAATCCTGTCAGCGCGCTGGCTAACTTCCAGACGCGTCTTCACAAATTACATGGTACAACGGAGCCCTGCAACATGCATTCCTTTTGCATTCACATGCTTTGCATTCGCTTGTTCTGAGTTGCCATACCGTGACGAATTGTTTTTACCAGTCTGCCTGCAGCTTCGTTCGTCACTCGCACTTTGTGTTTTCAATGCAAAGGAGGTCAGCTCACGTCACTCCTTAACATCTCATCTAAAGAAGCCTGACTTTACCGTCGGACACACCTAACACTGCAGAACATTATGTGAAGGCAATGCCCATTCTCCCGAGTATGCCTAACTGTCAACAGTTGGACAAGGAAAGGCAAATCGACATATTTTTGTTTAATTTTTACGTCTATCGTGCAACTGGCACAGCGCCTTAAAGCCGTCAAACAATGAATATTCTGCTCGTCTGTTGTCGACACTGATGACATCAATGCTCAGCAGACCGACGATATCCGGAGATTATGGAACGCCTATGGTGAGAGTTTTGCTCCCGCTACAAACACTGGCGGAATCGATTTTCCCACCCTGACCCGGAAGCGTTGGACACAAGCCGCAATTGACTCGTGCTGAATGCTATGGCCGAGTGGTGCAGGGCTGTCGACTGGCGGCCGTCTGTCCGGCATGACAGCACCCGGACACCGCGGTATTGAGCCCTAACACGTGCTCGGTGGCCCGTTGAACATGACAAGCTTGGGCGGAAGAGGATTCAGCTTAGCCGCACCGGCATAAAAAGGAGCTGGCTGGAGATAGCCCATGCTGCGGTGGTTAACGCGCCTGCATCAACCACTGCACGTCTGGGAAGCCGGAGGTGCGGGGTCAATTCCCCGCGGTGTCCGCCATTCCTGCCAGGGTGAGAGGCAGGTGACGCCATATGGTCTCAGCAGCTGAGTGCGTCGTAAGGCCCCAATGACGACGACGAAGCTAGAGATACAAAATTAATATAATTGTTAGGACTATATGTGAACGCATTTGTGTGGAATTCTATTCCTGGGCTGTGGCCTTGGTACCACACAGGGTCGAACAAGGTCAAACTTAAAATAGGTATCAGAGGTGCCCTCATACCTTCTCATGCAACCAGCTTTAACCAAGCTGTACCTCCAGGCAAACGGCCAGTCAAGCGCATTTAAGATCACTGACCTTGCCTGACTCTTGAAAGGCTAAAATGACCAAAGTATCTGGAGAAAATTTTAGCACTTAGGTTTGAAACCAGCGTCAAGAACTACCAAGGTGGCGAATTCTTCAAAGCAATATATCCATCGAGGCCATTGTAGACCGGTGACCATCCCTGACCCTCATGAATTCAACGTAAGAAATATATAATTAATTGTCTTTGTAAGAAAGAAGCAGCATGAATTACTTAATCTGCAACGTAAAAATACTAAAGTTTATACTGTTCATTATGTACGTTTCAGTGCTTGTGATTACGAGTAATCAAAGTGAGCTTATGTGCGTGTGATTACGTGTAATCACACACACACGTGATCATAACCACAGTTTGAAATGTTAAGTGTTGACAAGATAGTCTATGTTCGCTCTACAACGTCATTTAAACGTTACATCCTGGTATATATAAGTCGATAGCCCAGTATAAAACTGTGAACTCATAAAATCACAGTTCTGGCATGTCACACACGCAGCCATGCGACGAGCGACTCATCACCTTAACTGCTTCCGGCCAGCATAATTTGCGCTTGCAAAAGAACAAACGTCAGGTATATGCACAACTTACGGACAACTTACGCCTAGTCCCCCTGCCCTAAGCAGGCTGAGCACGCTTCAGGGCGCCTGTGTGCGCCGCCGGCTGTCTCACCGGTGCGGGTCGCGGAGCGGGCCGCCGGGTCACCACGTGCCGGGGCAGAGCTGGCTCCACTGGCCCAGTCAGCGCGGCGCGCGCCGCCTTGTCCGGCGCCGGCGGTGCCGCGCTCGCCGGCGGCGGGTGCGGACGCCTCGCCACGCCCGCCGGCGCTGCACCGCTGGCCCACAAACGGCCACGCCTCAGCCGACGGCCGCGGGAACGGCAGCGCTGCACACGGCGCGGCGCTGCACCCGGCGCGGCGCTGCACCCGGCGCGGCGCTGCACCCGGCGCGGCGCTGCACCCGGCGCTGCACACGGCGCGGCGCTGCACACCGGCCGCGGCGCTGCCACCCGGCGCGGCGCTGCACCCGCGCGGCGCTTGCCGGCGCGGTGCTGCCGGCGCGACGCTGCACCCGGCGCGGGCGCTGCACCCGGCGCGGCGCTGCACCCGGCGCGACGCTGCACCCCGGCGCGGCGCTGCACCCGGCGCGGCGCTGCCGGCGCGGCGCTGCACACGGCGCGGCGCTGCACACGGCGCGGCGCTGCCGGCGCGGCGCTGCCGGCGCGGCGCTGCCGGCGCGACGCTGCACCCGGCGCGGCGCTGCACACGGCGTGGCGCTGCACCCGGCGCGGCGCTGCCGGCGCGACGCTGCACCCGGCGCGGTGCTGCACCCAGCGCGGCGCTGCCGGCGCGACGCTGGCGTCGGCCTGGGCCCCGGCTCGGGGCCGGTTCGCAGCTCTGCCGGATGATGCGGCGCGGACGGAACCGCCGGCCGCGTGGTAACAGCGGTGCGGGGTGGGGCTCGGTACATGGTGAAAGGGCGGTGGAGGCATGTACCGTCGCACAATAACACTGGAACACAAGGGGGCTGGGACACCGCGGGCTGAGGGAATGGCGCCACGGGACCGCCGACCGCGCGGCTGCGAGGCAGGCGGTGAGACTGGGTATACTGCAGGCTGAGCTGATGACGACACGGGACCAGGATCAGTCATGAGGCAGCGCAAGGGCCGCTGGCTTGCTGGACGTGAAATCTGCTTGTCAGCGAAGCGCCGGGCACTCGGCTGAGGGAGGCATGGGTGTGGCTGTGCTTTTAAGCTAGGCTTGCTAGTTCTCATTCCGATCACTTTAACGAGGGGATGTTGTCATTTGCCAATTCCATGGCGCGTGCGGTAGGGATGAGCAATAGCGTCAACATAGTTATCGGCCAGGGACGACGTCCGTGCGACAGCATCTTACGGTAAAAGGCTTCGCTATCCCGCACATTTGTCCGTAAGCGACAGCGATCAAGACATCGTTATCCGCCGCGAATGCCCGCAACGAATGGTTAATATCAAAAAGATGCAAGCGCAGTCGGACAGCCCAGATTACGACCAATGTATCGGTCGTTTCCGCGCCACCCTACCTTGTATAGTATGACAGTCACTTGCAGTGCGGTTTCATAACATGGTCCCCGAAACACATCTCAACTGTGGTGATGTCTCCGCGATTTAGGAAGTCACTCAGCTGACCCAAACCGCACAGAGTGCGGATGCAGGACAACAAAGAACGCGCTGGTGCCTACGGAAGCACTTATTGTTCTAAAGCTTGGAATTGCCCTGGCGAGAGCATTTCGTATCACTTCGGACATTGACGGTTCAAAGTCATCATCGCAGCTGGAAAGTAACCTACTGACCTGAAACCGAAAAACTGGGTGTACTTAAAAGGTTAAGACGCAATGATCAGAACACTGGCTTTGTCCCGATACTCGACATGTCTTAGTTGAAACAGCGAGTAGAGAGCGGCTGTCCTACCCCTCCTCCCCATCTGGCGAGGATGTAAAAATGCCCTCTTGGGGAAAGGCTAAAGTGAGAGGATGTGAGGGGAGCGTTGAGAAGTAAAACGTTGCCGCTCTCTTCCTGCTTGGTTTCAAATCTCTCGTTAATGTAAGCATGGCGAAGCAAACTGCGCTATCAGCGAATAGCGAATGAAACATTCAGCAAAAATTATGGCCGTAGACTTTCCAAATAATTATGACAGTGAACTTCAGTGGATCGTGTGGATCACATCACAGTGAAGTCACTACAGGTATTTCATGCTATAAGACTGACTGATGGGATTCAAGGGCAATGCCGTAGTGTTCGTTTATTGGACAACATGGGACTATTACCGGATAGGCTCAAGGACATGGGTTGTCTCGGCGTTTGGAAAATCAACACTAGTCGTAAAATTGAACCAAAACTGCATCTAAATCTGCATGCAATCAGGATATATGCATTTTGCACCAGTAATTTGTCCAGCCTATTCGGAAGTTGTGTGGTGATGAGATAGATGAAGCATACATATGCATGCATGTGTGCAGGTGGATGCAGTGCAGCGAGGTGAATATATGTGGCTGGGATGCAACCGCAACGCATGCGGACGCAGCAAAACGCTCAACACCAGGGAGGGAATGCATGCTTGCGTGGAACCTTACTTCACCTGACTCGCCTTCGGACTTGGATCTCCATCCGGTGTAGATTGTAAGCTATGTTGACATTAATCACGCGTCGTGTTGTGCGACGTATGAGCCGCGAATAGCGCCGTTTGATAGGGACCTTTGCATGCATGTTTTATAAAAATTTGGCAGGTACAACGGCTGTCATGTGATGCCTGCTACTTGGTCGAAGGCACTGGATGGATGCGCGAGTGGTTATGCAAGATACATACATGTATGCAATGTCGAGAGAAGGACGATGATCCGCTTGACCAGACCGTTCAAACCGACTAGTGGTGATTTCTGTAGGGGGATGCTTTGTTCATCATTTGTGACGTTTTGCTGTTGATAGTTCGGAGCAGCCTGTCCGAACAGCCCGACCGACACTTCACCTGTCCAGGGCGCAGCACGCTCACCGAGCAGCCCGACCGACACCTGACCTGTCCGGGGCGCAGCGCGCTCACCGAGCAACCCGAGCGACACCTCACCTGTCCAGGGCGCAGCGCGCTCACCGAGCAGCCACGGTTCGCAGCACCCCACGCTCCTGGCTTTCCCACGCTCCCATCCAGCAGTAAATGCTGCCAACACACGACTGTGCGGCTCGGCTGCACCCCGCTGTGGGCAGATTCCGCCGGCCCCTTCACGTGGGTCCGGCGGGCGGCAGGTCGACGGCGTCCGTGGAAATGAGCGACGCCCTGCCGGGCCGGGACGGGGAGGCAGACCGCCCCTCTCCCCGTGGCGTCCCCCACTGTACGGTATGCGAGTTGGTCACAACACTTGGCGCGGGAGGTAATGCAGATGCTCCCGTCCGGAAAACATTCACCGCCGGCCGTGCCTAGTGATGTGGATTTTTGATGTCATAATGCACAATCCTATATCCCAATTCAGATATGTGTGGTCGATTTGAGCACTATCGTGCTATGTAGCAAGGGCGGAGCACCCCCTGTCGGCAAGCAAGCGGGACAAGGGCGTGTTTTTGTCACCAAAAAACTGGATAGGCCCTTTACCCAAACCAAAGGCACTGTAACTACTCGTAAATTACCAAACTTCAGAGCAAGCGGGCCACCGTCACTGAGCGAGCGAGGAATCCATCAGGTTCAGAAGACCCATTCTAAATTAAAAGGCCCGGTTTCTGGATCATGGAACCACCTTTATTCGTAAGATAGCCCTTGCTCTAGATCAGGAGACCCCTTTGCTAGTTCGGGAGGTCCCCGTCACGAACTAGTAGGGCCGTTTTGGGTTAGAGCGCACCATCTTTTTCAGGAGGCCCTATTCTGGAACAGGAGGTCCCTTTCATGCATCAGATGGCCGCAGTTCCGTATCATGATCACCTGTTTTGGAATAGCGATGCCCCTGGGCTTGATTTGGAGTCTTTCTTTGTGCGTTGGAAGCATTCTGCTCTGGATTATGAGGCCCTATACGTACCAGGATGCTCTTTTCTTAAATAGGTGGCCCTGTTTTAGGACAGTGAAGTCCTTTACTGGACACCCAGAAGGTCCCCATTCTTAACTCTAAAATTGTGGACATCACTTGGATATAATGCTTTAAACGGTTTGGCAAAAGGTCACATGCTCTCCGTGCCGCTCCCCGTAACAATGGCATGACCCACGAGGCCCCTACCCCGTGAGGAGGACCCATTTTGTCCACGGTACCCCTGAAATGCACCCATATACGTAAACAAGTCGTGAAAAGGAAGAAACGACAGATGTGCGTGTGCATATCTACGTGTATATATATGTATATATATATATATGCATATACATGTATGTATATGTTGGTGCATGAGGTCAGTGAATAATCTTAGATGTCAGTGTTGTTAAAGGCTTTGGCGTAGGTGTATCTAAGAAGCTTTTTCTGCTCTTGCTCTAGCGTTCTTATTACGCTTGTCTGTTGATAATTGACACTAAAAAACAATTCGCTAATATTTGGTTTTCATTGGCTGGTCTGACGTTTCAGAATCGTTACTTATCCGCTTTTCAAAGATACACATATACAACGTGCAAGCGATTGTAGCCACGGTTCCTGCATCTACGGTATAACCAAACTCAGTTCAATCACCAAATTGTACAGACGTTTTGTTGGTCGACTTTTTTGGGGCCACAAAAATTCAAGCGGCAAAACACGTGCCGAATTGTAAGATATGTCATCTACTGATGATATCATTCGTCCCTAAATCAGATGAAGGGTGACTGAGGGGTTCGTTTGTTTGTCCAGTTCCAGTGGCCATGTTTTGATCGTGACAGCATCAAGAACAGAGAGCTTTTTTTTGTTTGATGATGGTGTTATGATACCGGTGCTCTTGGTGAGGTCCCCTCGGGCGATGTTTCGGCCGTGTTCTTTTATCACGTGCTCTTTTGGAGCACCGTCAACCAAGCATATCGTCAACCGCCTTGGAAGTGTGGTGGTACTGACACAAACGTAGTTTGATCACTTTAGAAGTATGCAGTCTCTTGTCACAACGAAACTGGTAAAGTACGTTGGTTCGTTCCAAGGGGTCAGATTTGGCCGTGAAGCTGTTTCTCGTGATGAGTTAAGTAGCCCTTCTGTTTTTGTACCCGGCAGTGAGCGTCATCCTGCTGTCTGGCTGACTGGCTTGACGTTGTCAGATAAT